CAAGACGGGCAGACAGTACATGGTTGCATTTCACTTGGTAACTCACAATCTCCCCTGGCCTCTTTGAAAGTGTCAAACTTTCAGCATTCACTTGAGTCACTTTCTCTTCATCTGTTTTCTGTCACACATTTCATTTATTTTTACACGCATTTTTTAGTTTTAAAAAAACCCCTCAAAGAATTTTATAGCTTCCTTTATTCTAACAGTAAAGGTATATTTATTTATTTATTGTTGCTTTTTTAAAAAATAAATAGCATTCAGAGGGATCACAAATCAGAGCTAAAACCTGTTTAGTTTAAATGCTGAATCCCAAATGAGAAAGAAAAGAAAAAACCACTGAAATTTAACTAAAGGGAAGGAGTTGGGCTAGATTTATCTGTAAAAGTTGAAGCAAGACTTCATGAGCAAAATAGGTTTTTGTGACGTTACAAAGAAATCATAAAGTACATTTCTGCTCAACAGCATTAAAGGAATTACTAAAAGGCCTAATGCTCTCATCCTCCCAAAAAGAGCTCACAAAGAAATACTGGGGGGGGGATGAGTGTCCTTGGGGAAATCTAATGCCATCTCCGTGGCTTTTACTTGGCAGACTGAAATGTGTAACTGCTGGAAATATATTCTTAGAAGTAATGCCTACCAAATGTATCTTGCAATTTAATGGTATTATTTGGGTTTTGCAAGTATAATTCTAGGAAGGAAAAATTGCTGTGGGAAAAAAGGAGTAAAGTATGTTTATTTGATTCTTTTTATAGAGAGGCAGGTCTTATTTTTACCAGCTTGTCATGCGAAAATACATAGCATGAACACTTTATGCAGTATGGTAGTCTCAAAATGTTTTGATCTACACCTTCCCATCAGTCCAGACAGCGTGCTATGGCTGGGCCTGACTGGGAGATAGATGAATAGATCAGGAGATAGATGATTATAGATCCCTATATATAGATATATAAGGGGCTGTTACTCGGAGAATTAGGAGAGGGGTGATAGTGATAGATGTTCAATTAAAAAGATGTCAATGAGAGGAAAAGCTGTTTCTGCTGCTCCAAAAGGGACACGGACAATGATCAACTACAAGAAGAGATTCCCAAACATTAGAAGAATTCCTGCAGTAAGAGCTGTTCGACAGTGATTTGGCAGGATGGGTGGAGTCCCTTCTTTGGAGGTCTTAACAGAGGGAAACATATGACAGGAGTGCTCTGATGTGTTTCCTGCTTGGCAGGGGGTTGGACTCGATGGCCCTTGTGGTCTCTTCCAACTCTATGATTCTATGATTCTATGATCAGGCATAGGCAAACTCGGCCCTCCAGATGTTTTGGGATTACAATTCCCATCATCCTTGACCGCTGGTTTTGTTAGCTAGGGATCATGGGAGTTGTAGTCCCAAAACATCTGGGGGGCCAAGTTTGCCTATGCCTGATATAGATAGATGATAGAAGATATAGATAGATGATAGATAGATAGATAGATAGATAGATAGATAGATAGATAGATAGATGATAGATATAAACAGACAGACAGACACAGACAGACAGATATAGGTAAAGGTAAAGGGACCTCTGACCATTAGGTTCAGTCGTGGCCGACTCTGGGGTTGCGGCTCTCATCTCGCTTTATTGGCTGAGGGAGCCAGCGTACAGCTTCCGGGTCATGTGGCCAGCATGACTAAACTGCTTCTGGTGAACCAGAGCAGCGCACAGAAACGCTGTTTACCTTCACGCTGGAGCTGTACCTATTTATCTACTTGCACTTTGATGTGCTTTCGAACTGCTAGGTTGGCAGGAGCAGGGACCGAGCCACAGGAGCTCACCCCATCGCGGGGATTCGAACCGCCGACCTTCTGATCGACAAGTCCTAGGGCTCTGTGGTTTAACCCACAGTGCCATCCGCGTCCCTATTAGATAGATATAGATACTTGCAAAATTATTTGATTTACTTGCAGTATTTTATGTCACCCTTCATAAATAATCCAGACCAGATTACAACAGTAAGAATATGAATCAAACAATAGAACAAGCGATAAAATATCAAAAACAAAGTGAATACAATAAAATGCAGCAGAATCACAATAAATGAGACAATCCCTCAATGACTTGGTAACAATGACCAACAAATGCTGGGGTAACAGGTTTTCAGAAGGTGCTGAAAATTCTGGAGATTTGGCTTTTGGGTGTGAGTGGCAAGATTAGGCACCACAGCAGAAAAGCCCTGTTGTGATAGATTTGGCAGGTGATGCTTAAGACAGGACTGGCATGCAGGGATAACTACAAAAACTTTTCCACAAGACAAGCTTGTGCTGACAGTGTCCCTGCAGTTTGTCCCCATCACAGAAGCCCCAGTTACACAAGTCATCCCCCACTGCACTATGTCAGAGCACAAATATTTCAGGGCATACTTTTGCCCAGAAGATTAAATCCTTCTAAAACTGTCATGCAATCACCTTATTTTCCAAATAATATTTCCCTGAGCTAAGTTTAGTTGCTTGCTGTACAATGCTAAAGTTTCTTTAAAAAATAATAATTAAGAATTGTTGTGCATTAACTAAACGGAAGTTACTTATCTGCAAGCCAGACTCTTTTCACACACTAGATCAACATTATTCTTTCTTTCCTGTTTCCTTTAATTTCTCACACAAATATTCTAATTAAATGAGTCCTACATTATGGCTACAGTTTCTCTCTTGCTTGAGAAGCTTTAGCTGCCAAGTATGAAGTAGTAGCTTGTAAAGACCTGATTATTCTTTTTTTCTCAACCTTCTGGGTATAGTTGATAATACCCTAATTGTTGCAGGAAACTATTGCAATGGCAAGCAGATGTTACATTAGTTAGATAAGCTATATAACCCTTTCAAGTACAATGCCAAAAAAGAAGAAGTGAAAATGGACTGTTTTATACCCTGTTCATGAAAATTTAGGATCCAAGTTGTGGGCTTTTTGCCATACATTACTTTTCTAGAAATCCAATAGTCTTATGACTATGACATTCCCAAGCCTTACAGTTCATACCATTTGTTGATTGATATGTGACAGTTCATATATGCAATTTAACCTATGTCAAACATATCATTGATGTACATGTGTAAATATCATATATATGTATGAGAGTTGGAAACCCAATGCCAATTGTGGGCTCCTAACATTTACGCATACATAATAAAATTGGTATTATACACAATCCCCTGGTATAGTCATAAATGTAAGGTGCCCTTAAGTGGACTTTTGTAAATGTTAAGATGGTGGCTTTGATGGAGCCTACAAGTGAAATTCATTGAGTACTAATACTTCCAAAATCTGCAGAAATATTTATCAGATGAATGGCTCTGGCAAAGAGTCTTCACAAAGATTTTTAAGGAAGCCTGAAACTTACATAAAATTATTACTTCATCCACAGCCAACATAAGAAATCACTTTTTAAATATCAATAGGAGTTACTCCATAATATTATATATGTTTACAATGAAAGGGGTAGGAAACTGTGGCCTTTTAGATTTTGGACACCAACTCCAATCAGGTCCAGCCAGTATGGCCAATGGCCAGAGATTACATAAATTTGACGTCCATCAACATATGGGGAACATTGGGTATTCTTGGATGACAGAGTTAAACATGCTAACTATGCAATCCAATGCAGAAGCAAGTGCTACTGAGTTCAATGAAACCTACCGAGGTAAGTGTGTGGGATCACAGCCCTAACTGTATACTTCATTGCAGTATACTTTTATATTTAAAAAAGGTACATAGATGTCACTTTACTTTGAAAGCAGAGTTCATCTCAGAAACGTTAGCAAGAGCTATACGGGCCACTTTAGTATGCATCCTGAGTGACTCAACAGAAATGCTGTTCGTTTATACTAGTGAAGAACTGATGAATCACTAGCCCTGGCATAGCATGGAAAGTTTTTCTGAGATTTTGAAGACTCGTTTTCCCAAGGGTTTTTCAAATAAATGACATTGTTGCCTTAAAACAAACCTCGCCACTTTCTCCAACTCTGAGCAGAGAAACTAAACGTGAATCAATGGCAAAACTTTATAGTTCTGAGTCAACCAATACAGAGTGCCACTCTACATGTTCCCAGAAGTTCCAAGATTATTTTCACCCAATAGCTATTTTAGAATGCAAAATAACCACAGGTAGCTTCAGAAATATACTGATATATTTTCCCCAAAGGTGGGAAATCATTTCTAAAGGCAAACTTCTAATAATATTTTATGAATGTGCATATCTGTACCTACAGAAAGAGCATCAGAATAGCTCTACACTATATGGAGCTCTACACTATATGGAGCCTACACTATACGGGACGCGGGTGGCGCTGTGGGTTAAAGCCTCAGCGCCTAGGACTTGCCGATCGAAAGGTTGGCGGTTCGAATCCCCGCGGTGGGGTGCGCTCCTGTCGCTCGGTCCCAGCGCCTGCCAACCTAGCAGTTCGAAAGCACCCCCGGGTGCAAGTAGATAAATAGGGACCGCTTACTAGCGGGAAGGTAAACGGCGTTCCGTGTGCTGCGCTGGCTCGCCAGATGCAGCTTGTCACGCTGGCCACGTGACCCGGAAGTGTCTGCGGACAGCGCTGGCCCCCGGCCTATAGAGTGAGATGGGCGCACAACCCTAGAGTCTGTCAAGACTGGCCCGTATGGGCAGGGGTACCTTTACCTTTACCTTATATGGAGCCTTATCAGTTATCTAGGATAGACAAAGAATTACAAAACCCAGACTACCTACGGTATATTTGGAATGGAAAGATACATACTTCTGTAAATGAATGAAAATCTTAAAAGTCTCCAAATGTAAGATAAAAGGCACATGTCTATTTGTATTTTTTTTCTAGAGAGAAAGAAGCATTTTAAAGGCTTGTTTTTGAATATGTGCGGTGGTATTTAATCAACAGAGACCTGAAATTAATAGACCTAACATTACATTGGCTATTATGTTATGCCTCTACTTACATGGAATTCAACAACAGTTACGATTTGTCTACCAAGCATATACATTAACTGAAGACTTACAGTCATGATCAGCCCCCTTTCCTGGAAATATTTGACCAATGGAACTGTGTTCTGCTTGAAATTCGTTAGGCGTCTCTGCGTAGCTTTGAGGTTATCGTCAGGTCTCCCCTGCTGCTCGGCACGCTTCATTAATCGCTCTTTCAGCCGCTGATTTGAACAGGACAAAAACACCACCAAATCTGGGGTGCAGATCTGTGGAGATAATATGCCAAATGAATTAAATATTAAAATTAGCAGACTGGTTCACATTAGCTTCTGGAGAGTCATTGTTTCATTTCTGTGAGGGAAGGACAACAAGAACTGAGCATGTCTAAGAACTAGTTGTGAACCCTGAAAACCTCAGTATTTTCTCACGTGAAAGTATGCTGTTGCTGTCTGCTACTTATAACATTCTTAACTGGAGTCATTCCCCTCAGCAATTCAAAGTATTTAGGACTTATAAATTAGAACTGTTTTCCCAGTAGTGATGTATGGAAGTGAAAGCTGGACCATAAAGAAGGCTGATCGCCAAAGAATTGATGCTTTTGAATTCTGGTGCTGGAGGAGACTCTTGGGAGTTCCATGGACTGCAAGAAGATCAAACGCATCCATTCTTAAGGAAATCAGCCCTGAGTGGTCACTGGAAGGACAGATTCTGAAGCTGAGGCTCCAATACTTTGGCCACCTCATGAGAAGAGAAGACTCCCTGGAAAAGACCCTGATGTTGGGAAAGATGGAGGGCACAAGGAGAAGGGGACGACAGAGGACAAGATGGTTGGACAGTGTTCTCGAAGCTACCAACATGAGTTTGACCAAACTGCGGGAGGCAGTGGAAGACAGGAGTGCCTGGCATGCTCTGGTCCATGGGGTCACGAAGAGTCGGACACGACTAAACGACTAAACAACAACGACAACAAAAATTATTACTGTAGGATATACAGTGGGAGCAAGGAGACAGAAGAGTGTCCCTTTCTCTCTCTGCCCCACACCTATAGTGTACTGCTATAACATGGCAGAAAATTCCAGATCTATAATTTCTTTATATATATAAAAAGAAGTTAATTTTCTAAATCAATTTCTTTCTTTTTTCAATTTAAGAGCCTTTTTTCTCATGGAAATTGAGTGCCAGCTGGTAAGGAAACCATAGGACATTATACCACTTGTTGCCTATGCGCACACAAATTCATATTCACCGTGACCAGCACCCAAGGAAGAGGTAGATCGGAACACCCATAAAGCTTCAGAAATGTGATCTTGTCACTTAAATGAAAAGGCATCCATCACCGACTATGACACTCCTGTTCTCAATAATAAAGTTTCTTCATAATAACACATAGCTGACATAAATAACCCTAATTTAACTGTTATTCTTTTACCAGCATAATTGTTGTGTTAAAGTCTTAAGACAGATATTTACTTTTCACTGTCTATAGTGGGATTAATTATTTTCTTTGAAACTATTAATATGGCAGCTCTCACACATAATTTGCCTGACGGTTAAAGTGTACATGGCAGGGGACAGGACAACCTAGTTAACTACATAATTAAAACATCCTGAACTGTCCTCCTCCCCCAATTTAGTTCACATTGTTTAATTGGGAAGATGAGGATATGGCACAGAGGATGTCCTATGGAGAGCAACATCAATGTTATTAGCATTTGGAAAGGAAGTGTTTAAAAAGGGGGTGGATTGCTGGCATAAGTTACTTAATATTACAAAGGGGAACACATTCAGAATTGACGTGTACAATTAACTCAATAGAAGTCTGTATCACATTTACACTGCCTCCTTGTGCAGCCTTATTCCCTGTCTATAGCTTATATATATCAGCCTGCATAAATTTATACAGCTTGGTGTGTGAGGGTGTATACATATACACATTCATTCCCTCTATTTTATGTTTGTAACAGAATGCCTGGAGGCATGAAACAACCCAAACTCTTATACTGTATATATTTTTTGAAACATTTTTTGTACTTCTGCAGATCTTGGGGAGTTTACTGATACCTTCCTCTTGTGGAATGGATAGGAATGTTTTGGCTACATAAGTAGCACCTGAACACAGGAAACAGAAGTTTGACCAGAAACTTATAGAAGTTTATAAATATTGTTGGTTTCTTCAGGCTTGATTCCAAATGCTGGTTTTGACCTACAGAGTCTCATGCAGTTCAGGACCCCAATATCTCAAGGACCACTTCTCTCCACATGAACCAACCTGGACCCAATGTTCTTCATCTTCACCTTCTCTGGGGAGGTACGGAGGGTGGCTCCACTAGAAGAGGACTTCTAGGTTGTGACTTCCCAGTTTTGGAATACCATCCCCAGGGAGGTGTGCCTGGCATGAACAGTATGTTTTTAGCTGCCAGGTTAAAATATTTGTATCTACCCAGGCCTATGGAGTTTAATTATCTGCATATTTTTAGTGGAGTGGGGTTGAACTAGATTTGCTGTGCACAGTAGTGTGAGCATTTTAGGTTGTTCTTATTCTTGTTTTATATCTATTTTTAATCTTTGCTTTTGTAAGTTGCTTTGAGTTCATTTTTAAAGCAACAAATAAAAATATTTATAGATAAATAAAATAAATAAAATCTATCCTACTGTTTCTTATGAAATACTCCATTTTGATTAATTTTTCCTAAAACCAACTTTAATCCAAATTGAGATAAAGAATGACCTTGCTGTGTTTTAAGCCAGTAATGTGTACACAGCCCTAATTAGACATAACAAAGCACTTCAAAAAATGGGCATCCTGCAGTTTCAGATTAATTAACAGTATGTGTGGGTTCCTATCATTATATACCAGGAACAGTAACAGCACAGAAGCCAACACAAAACCAATACAGAAGGGAATCGAAGGAGTTAGTAAACAAGCCTTTAGTAAACATCTTTGATCCTAAGATTCGATCCAGAAAGGGCCCCTCTGGACATGTGTGTTTTCGTGGATGCATTCTGCAACCTGTCACTGATGTACTAATAGTGCATTAGTAGTGGGTGGATTCAGGACCATCCACACATCAAGCCACTTTGTTAGATATTTCAAAAGAAAGGGGAGGCTCTGAGAATGAAAATAGATTTTAAATATGGAAGGTCAAAAGGCTTGGTTAGGTTATCTTCTTGGCTGCAGGGCCAGCTGCGGGGCCAGTAACTCAAGAAAAAGCTGGCCTAGAATGGCCGCTCACTGCTTCCACAGGGGTGGGGTGATGGTTGCGGCCCCTCGTGCTCTGCCTTCATCCTCGGCAGCCAGAACATGTTCACACCCAGCAGGATTGAGGGGCATTCTTCCCGCCAAAGAGGGCAGCTTCAAACGGTCCAATAAGAGGTCACGATCAGAAGGAGTGCTACAATGTTTTATTGTGCTTTTAATTCTGTTGGGAGCCGCCCAGAATAGCTGGGGAAACCCAGCCAGATGGGTGGGGTATAAATATATTATTATTATTAATTATTTATTATTATTATTATTATTATTATTGAATGGCCAAACATTGTGACAACACAATATGAGATGCCTGCCCAAGAAGTTTCTCATCTGTGTCCATTACAGGAGAACAGGTCACACAGCCATTGTTACAGCCTTATTTATGTGTGGTAGGTCTGACAGAACTCCTATTTACTCTCCCATCCAGATCGCTCCCACCACTGGTTTGGGAATCAGTGTACACAAAACGTTAGCCACACTCCATATCTATCCTGTTGTTTCTTAAGAAATAATGGGTTTTGATGCCCCTTTCCCCAAACCAGTTTTGATCCAAACTGAGAAAAAGGAACAACCTAGCTGCATTTTATGCTGGTAATGGATACACAGCCTTATTCTGGTTACAATAATGTAATGCGCAGCTTTCCAAATCATGTGTGTCTCCATGAATTATACCTGCAAAGTGTTAATTCTGTTCCAAATGATGCAGAAATGTGTATTTTGAGATAGCTAACATTTGATTTTCATTCACAGGCCTGAGCTGGAGAGTCTTAAATCCTATGAAAAGGTGATTCAATTACTATAATATAAAGCTGGTAACTCCCAAAATAAATATAACCTATGTTACAGAGCATCATAAAACTTGGGATTCTTTGACACATTTTCACTTCCTTCAGTTGTGAAAGGAACAATAATTCCCTAGGGAGCTGAGCAAGAAAGTTGTCACGGCTCATGATTCATCCAAATCCATTAATGTTTGTTAAGCACTTTCAGGGTATCATCGATTCATTCCCTATTGAATATAAAGTATTCATGGGATGTTAAGAAGAACTGTTTTAATCTGATTTGACTGCTTTTTGTAACCCTTTCCCCCTTCAATCATGTCCTTTGTTCTCAGTTTAGCAGGCAAAATCAATGGGAATTCTTAATAATTTTTGTACAGCAGGCCTAAAGCTTACTTTGATAATGCATACAGGAAAACCTCTGAGAACAGTACGGTGAATAAACAGCAGGGCGTTGCATTCTTGAGTAGAAACCATCAAGACAAAACTTGCTATGTATTTATTTTTCTGTGACACAGACTGGTAGATGAATAGGAACAAATAGGAAATAAGACACTTGGACATCACACAAAGCTGTTAAGGTGTTTTCAGAACCTGTATAAAACTGAAGTTTGGTGCACACAGGAATTACTAGAAAAATCAGAATATGCTAAACAGTGCTAATATTCTCTGGAGAAGGGGCAGGCTGCATAGACTGCAGCAAAAGGGGTAGGGTTGTTGTTGTTTTTAACATAGATTTTGCCTCCTCCCCTGTGCCCCCAATCCAGATCCTCCACCACCCCACACCTGCACTTTGCATTGGGGGGAAAGCTTCCAATTGTCCCCCAGTGAATTGTAGGTGTGGGGCCCCAATCAAGCTTGGAGCCACTTCAAGTTGCAAGTGTTAATTCCCCTATCCTTATTTAGGTCAGCCCCACTGCACTGGCAAGTTTTGAAAACAATGGCCTGCACTCAAGGTAAACTATCCTGCTCTGGTTCTGTGAAGGCACCCATGGGGCAAAGCAGGGTGTTGTTCACAGCACTACTAATGACTTGCTATACGGCTTCTATGCTCTGCCCCTTTTAAAGAACTGGAAATTCTTAAAGGGCCAACCAATGCTCTGGCACTTCTGTGCCCCATGGCCCTTTGCATTGTTGGACTAGAGTTGCAGTTCCTGGGGCTCAGAACAATGCATCCAAGACAGCCTTGGCTCTGGTTCAATGAGTCTCAGACCTGCCAGCCTCAGGTTCAGTGGAC